GGTTGTGAATACCATGGTTATGCAAGTGATGTAACAAGAACATGGCCCGTAAATGGAAAGTTCTCCCCCCAACAAAGAGAAATTTATGAAATAGTTTATTGTGTTCATCAGGAACTAATTGAAATGTGCAGTAAATACCCAACTTTAGACTCTTTATTCGAATCTATGTGTTTCTTGCTAGGAAAACGGCTTCAGGAAATTGGTTTATTGGGCATACAACCCTCTAATGCTTATTTAATGAAGGTAAATTATTTATTATTGCATTTTTTATTAACAATATTTATATAAGATTTATATTTATTGGGTAATAATAACAACACTAATAATAACTAAATTACCGTATTTGTTCATTATTGTCAAAGTGGAATTCGCTGTATTCATAGTATCTTATATATTGTGCATTCTAAGTGCGACATAATTAATTAACTAGACCAAATTTTCGTTGAAAGTGGTTGACAATGTTTCATGGTGAATTTTATTAGTCACCACCTTTTAAATGTTCTGCTCATTTTTATTTTTATTCTCTTTTTCATTTATTAGGTGGTGATTTTCATTTTGTATCTTGATTATTTTATTCATTTTATTGTTTTTTCATTTCAAGTTTTATTGCTTAATATAATTGATATTTTTAGCTATTCATTCTAATTTCATTTGTTCTTTCATAGATTTCGAATCATATTAGACAATGGAAGTCCGAACTAATAAAATTTACTATACCAAATATTTTGCATGGTAGACATACAATCACAAAATTGAATTTAAAAATTTCAGTCAACTAATCTCTATAGAAAGGTGTAAATGAATATTGTAAAAACATTTACTTGGGATATTGCGAAGAAAATATGAATTTTCATACTATGTACTCTTTATTTTTTTAAGAATTACTTTGTAAATTCAAGAGGATCATACATTTATTATCCTTATGGAACTAATGCAAAATTTTATTTCTTCATAAAGTGGTTTGAGGTTATCAAAACCATTAATTGATGATACATTCAACAATAGATTTATGAAATAATTAATATATCATAAATTTTCAGTGACAATTTCAAGGATGATACATTTGAAATTTGTGCAACAATTAGAACCATAAAAAAATACATTTTCAAATGCTTCCTGACTGGGGCAACCTAAAGAGGGAAGAATGTGTAGAATGTGTCTTATTTTTTTATAATTTGTGAGTATTTCTTGGAAAAAATTAACAAAAAATATATTTTCAGAATTTATTTCAGGATTTGGAACAACCTGTATCATCTTGATATTTGACTTTTCATTGAGTATCTTATTTTAAATGAAGAGTAGTTGGCTGAAATAGGTTCGTTTAGATCCTTAGAATCTCTCTTCTTTTATCATTGTTATACAGTTGATAAAACACTTCCACTCAATACCAAAATGAAAAAAAATGGATTTACTGAACTTATGTAGTGACTCAGACATAAAACCGCAGAAATATGTTTTATGTACATAGGAAATAGAAACAAGAATTCACCTCATCCATTAAGAGATTTTTGAAAAGAAAGAAAAATATTCTGGATAAATAAAAGGTGGTAGGGAAGCCATTTTGGGCAAGCTATAAAACCAGACAATGGAGAGTTGAAAAAAGGGATCCGATTGAACTTCAAACCATTCCAAATTAATATCAAGGCAGCAAATATACATATTACAGTGGGAAAGGCCGTTCCTCCCAACTTTAATTAAAAAAAAAATATTAAAAACACTACTCCATCCATCAATCTAGATACATCTCCACGATTTTTTCTATACACTGTCGCCTCTTGCGAAAAACATAAGATTTGTTATTAATGATGGCCTCTGAAGAGATAAATCTAATTTAAGAAAGTTTCTACTCAGAGTATTGAAACCTATATTAAACAGTTAATTTTGAGAATTCAAAATGCATTTTGTGGTTTTGAAATATACAATGTCTAGTTATAGCAAATAAATTGCCAGATTTTAACTCATTTTTTTATTTTGTCTTTATCTATAAGAACTCATTCACTCTACCCTTTGGTGTAGTAATAGATATTACTGAAGTTTTATCCCAATACCAAACCGTTATTTTAACACCTTGACACATATTTCGATCACCAAGTCACAGTCTTCAAGAGGAAGATTAAACTGGTTTAATGTTGGGATAAAACTCCAGTGATATTGGTTTCCTACCTTTCCTACTCAGACTTGTTCTTTAAGGACAGTTGTGATCAGCAACGCATTGGTGGTTCAGCATAGCACCATTGATGAGATCAGGCTTGTTCTTGAGTCTAGCAACGCATTTGTGGTTCAGTGGTTACACCAGTGATGAGACCTATGGTGGATCGAAACAGCACTGTCTATTGTTGAATCATAAATGCATTGTGTATGGGCTCTGGTTTTGAACTATAAATTAATAGAATTGAATCTTATGTTTTAGGCAGCTTACCAGCTCTGCCCTCATCATGTGTCACATTATTTGGGAATGGATATACATGATACACCAACTATTGATAGAAATATTAAAATTGAACCTGGAATGGTTATAACTATAGAGCCGGGTGAGTTTTTATCGTTATCGTTAGCAATATTTTATATTTTCTTTCACGTTTACCAAATTTTGGGCATTGAGTGTAACAAACCTGTGTTTCATTTTCTTCTAAGAATCTTTTTTAATTGGGTTTAGAGACAATTCAAAGTTATTTTAATAAACTAGAATTTAGGATAAAATCAACTTTCTGAATTTTCTCTGATAAACGTGACTCTTGCTTATCTTCTATGGGTTGAATTTTCTATCAATCTCATATAGGACTTCTTTGTAAGGGGAGTCAGAAGACACTTCAAATTTATAATTGGGTCTATAGTCTGAGAAATAACTAAAAATGTGATTCACAGACAATCAAAATATGAACTGCTTTCAGTATTTGTAGGGAATTATATGATGATCATTCGACACCCTCATTTGCTCTGTGTAGACCAAATAACTTATTTAATATAAAATACGTAGTGAATATCTTTCTTTACAACTGGATTACTGTACTTCCATTACCCAATACCCAACTGGGATCACAATATTATAAACCAGTTGTTGTGTCGATTAACTCGAGTAAGTGAATCATCTTTTTCAATTGTTTGTTATACTACAGAAGCACTGATAAAATCTATAACAGATCACAACATCACGGAGGATTATAGATGCATCACTGTTGGACTCTGGGATCATCAAGGTGATCACTTGCATTGAAAACTGCAGAGAGAGAGAGCCTGAAGGCGATTTCTCATTCAGCAATTGTTGTCGAAGTTCAGGTGTGCAACAGGTCAACATTGATTATGTTTCATATTCACGAAATGAATTTTCTAATAATCGTTCATTAAACATCAACAAAGTAAAATGTTCATTCCATAAAGGTAAGGTCAGGTTATTGGGAAACCAATGTTCAAAAATATTATTTCTACCTACCCAACGGATTGGGAAATAGATGTCCAACAGAATAGAGTACCAAGAGAACACACAAAAGGAATGTACTATTCCATATGGAATAGTAAATTCATTTTGAAATTCTTGAAAACAAATTTTCACTTAATTCTTGAAAATTGTAATCTGGTTGTCCCAATCAGAGGAAATATTTCAAAAGGTCTTGGAACAATTTGGAGAAAGCAACTTTTTAATAACCGTTTTGATATTTATAAAGTGAACAATACTGCAAAATTGCTCTCTTCAAAAAATCTCAATGAGTTGGATTGTCAACTTGGGATGATGAAAGGTAGAACTGGAATCTTTGGCGTAGGATAAACCCAAAGCAAGTACTGTTCCCAAATACCAGAACATCAACCCTCTTCTCGACGCGCGTTTCAACAACCAAGTTGGCGTCTTGAAAAGATGAAGTACACTAATGTACCCTAGGTGGCAGATTTCTGAATTATTGGTCATACCATAATTGATATGTCTATTGAAACAGGTGAATTCCAAGATGCGCTAAAATTGAGCAAAGTGATCGCCATACATGAAAGCGGTAATAGAACAGAAATGAATAAATATAGACCGATTATTCTTCTTAGTATTTCTTCAAAAATTTTAGAAAGACTAATGTACAATAGACTTATGAAATTTTCAATAAGTTATAAAATTTTAACATGATTTCCAACATGGTTTTCTCATTGACAGGTCAACAGAATCTGCTTCTACCCTTTTTGTTGATTTCATATCTAGGAATATGGATAATAGGAAGCATGTAGCAGGAATTTTCTTTGACCTGTCAAAAGCTTTTGACTATATTGATAAAATGTTTTTGGCTTCCAAACTATATAATATTGGTATTAGAGAATAGACAGTTCTTTGTAAAATTAGATGGTGTTGAGTCAGATAAATATTCAGGTGATGTTGAAGTAGCGCAATGTTCAATTCTGGGGTCATTGCTTTTTTTTACTATTTCTCAATGCCTCCCAATAAATGTTATCAAAACTGCATTAACGGTTTAAATTGTATATCAACTTTTGTTTTTTTTTATTATGTCCACGTTGGATAATCTTTTTATTAGTTATGAATTGACATGTTCGATACCATGTAGTTGGTCTATGAGTGAATAAATTTCTTTCTTCTCTTTTCTACCCTAGATGTTAATAATAATGCTATTGTCACTCATTCTAACACACCGCTAATGCCTGTATTATTTTTATCTTTCATTAACGATGTTACAGATAAACTTGAAAATAAAACTCCCATCAATCTACAATCTAAATTAATTTATTCAATCCCTTGCCGTAATTGTGATAGTGAATATATAGGTCAGATGTCAAGATTACTGAAAGACAATATTTCGACACATAAAAATTATGATAGATTACATCCAGAGAGATGTGCTCTCAGCAACCATGTCTTCAAAAAATACACTTAAATGAATTATAATTTAATGAGAAAAATTAGTCAGATTGTTTCTGCAAATGGCTTTCATCTCTAAATCGACCGATTGCCTTAACAAAAAAACTGACATTATACACCTCAGTAAAATATATGCTTTTCTCCTCAATTCAGATAAAGAATTTTCAACAATTTCATAATACTAAGAATATATTTCTGAATTTCTTTCATAATTGGAGATTAATACAACAGTTGTTTTCTGAATTTGCTCTTCTAGTTATAAATAAATAGATAATTAATTGATTTTGTATATGTATGAAACAATACAAATGAGATATGTCTAAACTGCAAGTTTACAAACGATATACATATAGATAAAGAGTTATGATTGTAAAATTGACATTGAAAGTTGCAATAATTGCAGTAACACTTAGGTTAACTAACATGCAATGTGTTCTGCTCATCCAATAATTTGTATTACATTGGATAAGACAGCTATATACTCGTCAGTATAGTAAACACAATTGGTATCAACAGATCTTTCAGATACTTTTTGAACAAATATTGATTTAACTTTTTGACATGGGTAGGTAGAATATTGTAGGAGTTAACATCGATATTGACTTTTCCAGTCTGAATATACTTGCCCTCAATAAGTCACATCATCTTGTCTCATGATTGTGGAATTCACAATTTCTGTTTTGTGTTGATTTATTTTTATGAATATCCAAGAAAAGTTGCTACAGATAAATATGATACACTTGTCAATTACAATTTTAAATATGTTAACTTTGTTTATAAAATAGTTCTATGTTCTCTGACATATGCTATTTAATACACACCAATTTGAACACGGACAACCTCACTAACAGTAAGTTATGCTCTTATTAGTAATATTTTGTTTTTTCTATATAATAATTTGTAGCTTTTCCCTGATGGTGATAATGAATCTTATCGAAATATTGGAATACCTTGTGTTATAAGATTACACTTCCGTTTTGCTGCTTACCAACATAACGTCATTTCTGTTTTGTTCCTGACTGGTCAGCAAAGACCAAGTCTTTCTCCCCAAGTTTTGCCTCCATGTGAAAGAAATTGTTTTTTCTGAAACTTTTTCGTGACATGCACCGTAAGTTTTAACGGTTATTACAGGCATATCTTTGGAAACAGCAAGTTTTTCTAGATGTGAATACCCAACACCAGTAGATACTGCTGCTAATATTATACCTAACACCTTGACTGAAAAGTCGCGGGCCTAAAAAAGAAAACGCGATTTTTTGTTCAAAGTTGACTTTATTCATTAATTTCCATCAAGAGTCACACGATCATTCCAGCGCCGCTAACATTTGAATACCACTTTTTTGGAATGATTTATCTTTTGCCTCTAAATAGGTTTCAGTTTTAGCAATAGCCTCTTCATTCGAGCGAAATTTATTACCGGTGAGCATTTTTTGAGGTCTGCGAACAGCCAGTAGCTGCTGGGAGCTAAATCTGGCGAATTTGATGTATACCGGAACAATTCGAAGCCCATTTCATGCACTTTTGCCATGATTTTCATTGACTTGTGACTCTATGCATTGTCTTGATTAAGCATCATTTCCTTTTTCTTCAAATGGGGTTGTTTTCCGCAATTTCAGCCTTTAAACGCTTCAATAACTCTATAATACTCACTGTTGATGGTATTTCCTTTCTCAAGATATTAAAGCTTTCAACAAACAGTTAATACACATTAAAGTTGAGCTCGACTAATTAACCCTTTTTTTTAGTGTTAAAAAAGAGTGGTTTTAACCTCATATACATATTAATGTGTAGAAGTTACGGTCTCTATAATAATAAATGTATTACAATTCCAAAGTGATTACACAAGAAGGAATCTTGGGTGAAACATATATTTATCAATAAATGGAATGAATGTACAACACCTAAAAATAGTATCTGAAATAAAAACAAGCCCATCTAGTTAAATGATATTGTTATATAGTCCAGGAGCTAATAAGAAGAAAATGGAAGTGCTGCAAAAAAGATTTTGTAAAGAAATATTTTTGAAACAACAAATCATAATGACTCGTTTGCGTACTGGGCATACAAAGTATACTCACGAACACTTACTGAAGAGGAAGAAGAAAAAATCTGTTATATGTATGGGGTGCATATTTCAGTTAAACATTTTATGGTGGAGTGTCCGATATTCGTGGATGAACGACTGAAGTACAATATAAAGACAGCTCTTGTTGTGATTGTCTAACAGGAGTAGTTCCAATTACAAGACAAATATAATTAGGTTGACAGCTATGACTAAGTATGAGTACAATGGAATATAACGAATAGCATATAAAATCAGCAGAGTAATAGAGTAGTATAGATATTATACAAACAGTGATACATTCATGTAATAATAACAAAAAACATATACTGTAGAATTCTAATAGAATTGGCCGTTTGCAGAGAGTTGAAACACAGTATTTCACTTATGGGTTGAAATTATATTCTACGACTTGCATAGAAAATAGCTTGTTACGAATTATATACTTGAAGCGTCCAAATGGAACAACAAAAATATCACATTCTGAATAGAAACTACTATAAATTTTACAGATGTTATAAGCTGGAGATTTCATTAACACGTTGATCCTAGGCAAAGGCAAATAGAAAAAAAATTCGTTTCTACTACTTCGTCTCGCTACGTGAAAATCTAGTTGAGAT